CCTCCTGTGGTCAAGCGGTAAAACGCTCCACCACCTTGTCTATATGCTCTGAGGTTCTGCCTGCCAGTGATCTGTGTCTTCTGATAACTCCTGTCTCAGGGCGCCTGTCAACATGGACACGTCCCGCCCGCTCTGGATCTGAATCCTGAGCTGAAATTTAAGATTTTATGGACTAAGAGTTTGATGCAAACTAAATTTCAATGAGTCAACAACGTGATTCGATTGGCATTTTTGATTGAGAGGTGATGAAGAAGCTGCAGGAGACAGCCAAAGTACTTGGAAATATAAAACGGCCTATAAATGCATGTGTAGTAGCTCCTACAACCACGTCTCTGTGCATTTTGATGTAATAGCTTTAGATAAGTCTCCTGTTGAAGGGTAATGGGACAAAAAGAGCATCGTGAGATGATCACACGCTTGGTTTTTGTTCCACCTCAGTCTGAGGTCACATAAACTAACACTTTTGAAAAGTTGCAAACTCTCTTGTTAATTTGTGTGAGCTGCAAACAGCAGCTGAAGTGCAGCTGTCAACATTGTCATTGAGCTGAGGCTTGTCAAATATCATTACGTTACATTAAGGCTGTCAGTCAGAATTAGCAAAGTGGCATTTAGCACCAAAGATTAAAAACCACAGGTGTTTTCAATAAACACAGCCCCCGGTGGAATGCAAAAAACAAATTAGTGTAATGTTAACAGCTCAGACTATTATAAGGGCTTGTTGTTTTAATGGGACAGGTACACTGACAACCACACTGGTTTAGCAGTCCCCTCATGATTTAAATTAAAACTGCACACACTCATAAATATCGGTCCCCTACACAGGTCTCATTTTTGGATCCACACCAAAATGAAATGTGTTCTTTCTAATATCTTCAATATTACATGGAACTCGTTTGAGTAGTTTTTGTGTGATCATGCGAAAAAACAAACACAGATGAAAACATAACTACTTCCTGGAGAGTGTTGACTCAGCAGAGCGCTGCAGCCACCCGTAAATACAGAGATCCCGCAGCTTAGGAAGAGCAAAAGTGTCGACAGATTGACACTTAAAGAGAACCCGGAAACTAATAAAATCTTTGTATACTGCTGCACCACAACAAAGATCATTCCCTTTTAAAACCCCGCTCGCTGGCGTAGCCGGAGGCCAGGGATCGTTTTCACCTGCGTGTGTGGACAGATATGCAACCAACATGGTGTGAGTATTAGCTGGGGGGGGGGTGTATATCCTAAGTATTAACGTAGAGTCAGAAAACATTTTCCACAATATCCAAAGCTTCTATTGTTCAAACAATTCTCCTCCACCATGACGTCATATTATCAAGTAGACGCCACAAATAAGTCGGGAAATAACGTGCACAGCTCAAATATGTATCATCCTATAGAACTATAGACAAACAGTCACTCTGGAAGGAATGAAGCCTTACTATCATCAGTGTGAAGTCAGAAAATAATGTGGATAAATGCATAAACCTTTGAAACCAATAAAATTAGAGACATGATCTGCCCTTTGCTTAGAAGAACCAATCACTCAGCATCATGTCTTAAAAACGACGACGGTATTATTCTAATACAAAGCCGTTGGTCCTGATTGGCCTGCAGGGTTCGTGTCGCCCCTCTGATGCTTTTCATTTCATTATAAACTTTAATGTTTAACATTTGTCTGATCATTCAGACCAAAACTTAACTAGAGTCAGTTCAACAGAAAAGTAATATCTAACCCTCTGAGGAATGAGCAGAGAAAAGAGTCTCTTCATGGGGTGAGGTCACCGTGAGGTCATCTGTCGTGTTCATCTCATGTGTCTCAACACTATCAGTTACAGGCTAATAATTCAAAATGAGACGTTCTCATTTTCAACACCCGGGTGATAACTCCAGGTTTCTCCATGTCACTGAAGAGGCTGATAACAGAGAGCTATGTGTTTGAGCTGAAAACTATGTTTTCCAAGCAATCTTATCAGAAACCTTAAAATCTAAAAAACTAAATTGGAATCACTGATATCACGATCCGCCTGAATGACATGTTTTCATGTTTCTTACGTGATCGTCCACATGACAGCATGATCATTCACGAGAATCTAAAAGCTTCATTTCATTCCTCAGTGAGGTAGCACCATGTCCGGCGAAGATAAAGAGTCGTGTTTAATGGCCTGAGACGAGGAGGATTTTGAAGGTGCCAGGTCTGTGAGACACAGACTATTGATCGAGGATTATTGGTATCTTCACGGCTAAAGATGCATGACCCACAGCTGGGGCAGCCGGGAGTGTTCAAGGTCGATGTTAATCACTGACAAACTTGTGATGTGCTCTGTGACAAAAGGGATCTGCTGAACTCCTCCGCTTGTAGAAAGAAATAAGAGAAAAGGTCGAGGAAATAAGCAGAAGGCTGAAAAAAGCCATTGGACCACACATGGTCTTCATCATTCAAGAAAATTAAAATGATTACAATAATGGAGGCAAATGTCACGACCCAGTTGGCCGCGATTATCTCTTTGAAAGAACTGACTAAAATGATCTTAAACAAGGCAGTGAACCTTCGCTTGCTGAAATGTTACAAATCCCAATCCGGTCGTGCTCAGATCTCCATCAGGATTAAGTTAAATGATCATGATTGACTGTGATACTGATAAAATATGTGCCTCGCTCAGAGAAAACTGCTGAATGTTATTTTCAAGCGCTTCCTGAACCAACAGTCAGCTGCCAGAGGGTAACTGAGATGTCTTGGCTTCATTCTTGGAGATGTGTCATGCCGCTGCACGCGCACCCTGCAGCCGCACTTCAGAGGAGAGGAGTAATTTTTGCCTCTAGGAAGTTCAGGTGAGGAGGACATTTATATCAAGTCTTATGATGCAGGGAAGTCAGGGATTCATCTCTTATTTTAGAAAACAATCTGCACACTAGTAGTTTTTTGCAGCCAACATAACGTTAATATATAACCTGTCATGAAATCACATTTTCTTCTCCACTCGGGGATTAGAACAATCCGTGTTTCACCCACCAAATGTTCACTGTTGCCTCTGTTGGTGTTCATGAGGCGTTTCACACATTGGGAGACAGAATGTGTTCTTAATAGAAAATAAGTAATAGACATGAAACACACTTATTGATCACTAATTGTCTTTTGATACAGATCAGTACCAGATGAAGATGTTTTCTTTGTCTTAGACAGAAACCCTTCAACCGATTCTCTTCTCTTCCCACGCTCAGCAGAAACTGAAGAAAACCATGTGTGGTCAAAGAGCAGCAACAATCAAACGTGTGAAAGTTTGATTATTGTGAAAACTTCAGGGTGCACTGTTACATGTGTCGGACACAGTAGGTCAGTGAAACTTAAGAGTTTTCAATCAAAAACCTCACTACTCAACATTCTGTAGTGCTGTCTCAATGTGTAGTGTTTGACTCATTGTGTCCCACGATTCATGGTGAAAAATAATGCACAACCGATGGTTGGCCGAGAAAAACTGACTAACCCTCATCACATTTTTTATTTTATTTTCAGTGTAATGACTAGTTCTTACTCTTGTTGTGGTTTTGAACTCTTCTTAATGGACACAGAATGACAGAATTAGATCAACTGTCTCCTCACTGTGTTTGCACAATGTATAAGCATTATATCGTTGTATATATATATATATTGGTCTTGTTATGTTGCTGTTGATGAAAGTTGTGTTTTGATGTGTACATCCTGCTCGATTACCCAACACTGAAAACTCAACACCCAAAGCTCGACTCCAGGAGGGAGGGAAACCCAGAGGAGCATTGAGAGTAAGAAAATAACACATAATTACACATTTTGTTTTCCGAACAGACACCCTGGGATTACTGTCAGACAAGAAACCTTTATCCTGCATCACGAAGAGCAGACTGCGCTGATTAGAGACCCATCACTGTCTATCAATTATGCACACATTCAGTATGAGTTCATCGTCACATGGGAGACGCAGCGGCGGGAGCAGAACAATCATGTCTAATCAATCACGAGAACACTGGAGTCCTCACTGCCACGGGGGACAGTCCGCGTAAGGACAGGCAGGTGCTTCCTTTCTGAGATGAAAGGGGGAGGGGTGTTCTGACCTCAATCTGCCTGATGCACGTGAAAACTTCACGACACCTCACAAACCTGCACGAGGAGCAGGTATGTGAGGTGTCATGATACCTCAAATATGGGTTCCTGTTTTAATCATACCACCGCTGACTCTTGGTTTCTACTCTGTCATTGTGCGGCGTGATGGACCAGCACATGAAACCCCCGCCCCCGCCCTCGTCTAACATTAGCCTCACACACACACGTCCACACTAAGCAGCATGTGAGGACAAATCCTGCTTGAATCATATGCCTCCAATGTGATCTGTGTTATGAACGGAGGAACCCTATATTACTCACATGGTTTTTGAAAGGATTAGTTATCTATACCCCAAATGCTCTTAGAACGTTGAAAGTGTTGTGAAACTGAACACAAAGAAAGGAATTATAAAGTAATTAAGCCTGGGGGGGGGGGGAATGTTGAAAATATATCCTGCAGCCTAAACCTTAAGATTTAGGTGAAATTAAAGTATAAAACCATTGCTTCCAGTTTACAGCTTGCTTCCGGGGATTTAAAGCTGTCCTGCTGATGGCCACATGAACTGCAAAGAAGAAGGCTGCATGTCCTTTGGGGAGCATTAACATTTGTGATAGCGGCTCTGACGTTATCACAATAAAAATGTACCACATGTTATGTGTGTCTGTGCAGCCCCAAGCCAGTCATGGTAAAGCTCTGTGGTCACAGACCTGGTTCCCAGATGCTGCAGCCGGAGGGAGGCAGCACCCGACCTCAACACTTGCCAATGAATGTGTGTATGACGACAATGTGATGGAAAAATCATCAGACGGGTCACATACTGTATGATAAGACGTAGGAGTTGAATATGATTGTCACATGTCTTTCACAAAAACACACATTTCCAGCTCAGCATCAATACAGCAGCGTGCACCAGGACAGACACACACACACGTTTCTTACCTATGAGGCCTCCTAGCAGGCAGACTGAGGTGGACAGTTGGATCATACTCTTTGGTTTACGTCCTCAGCAGAATTTTCCGGCACAAATAGACGCACAGGGTCGGCCACACATATACATACACACACATATACATACACACACATAGGCAAACACGCGCGCACAGACACACACACACCGCTACAAAACTGGTGTTTGTAACTCGTCAGTGTGTGTGTTCAGCAGGACACACATGGATTCTCAGGCTTCAGCTCTTCATTGCACCGGTGTGCATCTCAGGCAGACGGATCCTTGTCCCTGTGCTTCCTAATGTAGAACGTCTGAAAACAAAGAGACAAAAACCAGTCAGAGCCGTGAGGCCACAAATGAGCAAACAGTCACACAGATTGAAAAAACAATCTGAAAGTTTCTGCCCGAACGGAACACGTGGGTCCGCACGTCACGTTAACGCTGAACATGAAGGTTATGGAGCAGACTGCAAATCTTACTCACAGTGCAGCTCCTTTAACGGAGACGTGTGATAATTGTTCAGAGTTTTCCCTCGACAACATTTCAGAGTGGACCAGCTGGCCAATCAGAGCAGACTGGGTGTTTCGGAAGGTGCCGGCAAAGAGGAGCCGCAGCAAAGGACAGAATGAAGGAAGTGATGCATTTACCGAATATCAGAGCGAGTAAACCTTTTCAAGTAATATCCCAAACCTGAAAATCAGCATAATGTCTCCTTTAAGCAAAATATAAATAAAATGTACTCAAAGTATAACTAACCATGAAAACCATCGGCTCTCTGCAGAACACCCTCGCAGAGAATTATCATAACCTGGGTCATAGTTAAACAGTTTGTCTGATGGTTTATCCAAACTGTACCACTCAGTTTAGATCAGATCAATAAAAGGGAGAGAGATACGAGCTGAACACAAATTAGAATGAAAATGCATAACCGGCATGTGAGACTAGCATAATGTTCTCAGCAGGCTTGAAGGCCTCAGTTTTACATCGGCGCTGCTCTGTAAGAGGGTTCTGTCGTCCCATGTGACACTCACCTGACCGTCAACACATCAAGTTTATCATCTGGAGAGAAGCTCCCGGCTAATATTTGAAAATCTTTCTTTGGTATTTAGTTATTTCGTACACACACATTCACACAAACACACACACACACACACACACACACACACACACACACCACGCTCAAGCTCAATGTCACAAATCACGGAGGATTCAGGGAGAACGACTGATGAGCGACGAACTAAAACGACAGTTTAACTCACAGCAACAAGAAACTGTTAAAAGAATAAAAGCTGCCTTCCACCGTAACAAACAAACCTAAATCCCAGTGTTTCTGCACCAACATGTAACGAGCAACAAATCCATTCTAAGAACATCTGGTTCTGCTGAGCTACAGGTCTGATGTGGTTATGTTTCCGTTTAAAACAGCAGCAGTTACCATGGTCCCCTTCAGGTTAGGGTTTGAATCATCAATCATAGCATTTTTATTTTTTTTGTGTCAGTTTGCAGTTTACTTCGGGGGGGAACTGGTCTGCAGAGTGCTTGTTATCACGCTCGCACTCCACTGCACCCATTCGTCTTGTTGATGAGGTAAGGACGAATGCCGACCTGGACGCATGTTAAAGACCTGCTCCAGCTCAGACTTTCTGTTTACCTCAAATTAAACGAACACAACTTTTTATGACCGACAGCGATTTTGTTTCAGGAAGCCGGGGATCATGGGTAATATCCAGCGTTCAGCAGTGTTTCAGTTCAACACATTGATAGAGTGTTTTTTCGCTGCATGAAAACCACCTCATGACTCAGACATTGATCCAAACACAATCAATCACCGCGTGTGGCTGCTGAGGTAAAACATTCAAAACAATAATAATACAAAATAAACCAAAGATACAGCCAAATACACCTTCAATTCAGAAACACATTTTTTAAGTAAAATATTATATCTTATATATATAAAATATCTTTTCTGCATTGCTTATTCTTTAAAAAATGTTTTATTTGTTTGGGCAGAACCATTTATTCGGATGTTTCAGCTGAATCAACTTTGACCAGTTAAGAAAGGAGATTCATCATCGGGATTCATCCTGTGAATCACGAACATCTGCGTGAGATGTCATGGCGATCCATTTAATGGTGTTGACCCCTAACCCCTCAGAACTGGAAGCGGTAAAATAACAGTGCAGTGTAAGAAATTAGATGTAATAATTAGATTTAATAAAAGGTTGTGGCAAACAGGGGAGCCCTCAGCATTCGTTTAAAAGAACTAAGCTTTGCAGCTCACCCCCCAGCTCGAGGCAGACGTGGCCCACGATGAGTCTGGAGGTTTCTTCCGGTTAATGGACAAAGTGATGAACACACTGGACCATCCAGGAAGCAAACGTCAACCTCCTCGCAGACGTTGACAAGAATCCCACAGAGACGACTTAGCGGCAGAGCAGAGGTCTTCCACGCATCACCAGTAACAAATCTTCCCATGAGCTGAACCTATAAGACGAGCTCTACTTGCAGTTCAGAGGAGTCCTGCTGCGCCAGCACAGTTTCAAACCTGCACCTTTGGACACCATCTTGTTGTTGACAGATGGTTAACAGATGTGTTCCTGATAAAGAAAATATGTTTGTCCTCTCACTTTCAACATCTGTCATCCTCTGACGAACCAGGTGCTAATTCTGGAAGCAGCTCCAGAGCCCCGGTTTAACTTTACAGCACGCGGCAGAGAGACGAGCAGAGAGGAGATAAAGGCCAAGTGTAGAAACCTCACACTGTCCCAGAGGCGTGGAGACGTTTTGACACGCTCCGGTGGTGTTGCACCGGAGAGCGTCTCATATTTACATGATAGAAGTGTTTTGCCCATTGGGCAGAACATCAGAAACACACGCAGGGACGTTTGAGGCATTTCCACTCGATTCAGCGACAGTTATTTTTAAAACACTCCACAGCTGCACATCGTTCCTCAGTGAACATCCGGCTCCCTGCGACCTAATGACTTACTGGATGCATGACTATACCACCAGTGGCGAAGTCCCCGCGGCAGCCTGTAGCTGCAGACGTCAACAAATGAGTAAACCAGACTGTTGTAGTTTGTAATTACAGCGAGGGCACAAGTACGTAGTGTTTCCCATTATTAATCTAGAGTGTGGCAGCCCAGCATCATCCAATTTCAACTGCCACAGCTTCATTATGAATCAAAACATTATTTCACACTTGTATATCGTCTGTTTACGAAGGGGGGGGGGGGGCTGTCAGGGCAGCACTTTAGAAGAAAATGCAAATACAACCAAATATATAGAACCTGAATTAAGAGTTTCCACATCAGAAAAAGCTGAAACCGATATCGGACAATTTTTTCATCAGCAACCAATGAGTCGGTCTCTATTCACAAAACCCTCACAGTCCACTCAGCTGTGTCCAGAGTCTGTCGAGAGACGAGTACGTTTCCATCAGATGTGCGGTTGCTGATAAAATGGAATGACAGACAGCGGGAGAGACAGAATTACTAGTAAGCGAGTGCACTGACAAACTCGGTGCTGTGGGCCATCAGTGAAGTAACAACAGATTATATTGTTCCACCGTCCATTTACCCGAGGTCAGGTTGCAGAGGCAGTCATCTCAGCAGGGCTTTACAAAGAGGAAACCTTCCAAACCCCAGCCCATCAACACCTCCTCTCCCTCCTGGGGGATCCTGAGTTATTACCAGGTCAGACAGGATATATTTTCCCTCCAGCGAGTTGTGGGTCTACCCCGGGGTCTCCTTCAAGACGAATGTGCTTGGAAAAGCTCCAAAGGAAGGCGCACAGCAGGCAACCTCATCAAATGTCTGAACCACTTCAACTGGCTCCTTATAACACAAAGGAGGGCAAGAATATGAAAGGAGTATACGAGTAGGTGCAATTGAGCTGTTAAAAATAATAATCCTGCGAATAAATCCAGAAATCTCTGTCTGTCAGGGGATTCTTCGGATAAACGCTCTGCTTAAAAACATGATCTCTGTCCTGAAAAACTCCAGTGATGTGCTGCTGCTGGAATGAACTGTGGCTGAGTCTTGTTTCCTTTCATTGAGGAGATAAGTGAGGGAGCATTTAGGCTCCTATCATGATTGTCACCGATAATTACAGCTCGTTTTTTTATCTTGATGACACACAGAGCTCGGAGCGGATTCACCCTCCACCTCCTTCTCTTTTCTATATTTGGGTTTTATGGAAACACATTTTTCCGACGTCAGTCTTTGAGCTCATCAATCAATCCCAGACAAAACATCACATCCTGGCTGACGATCCAGCGGCCCACGTCTGAGTTAGCTCCAGGTGGCAAAGAGCTTATCTACCAAAAGCTTGTCAAATTAGTTTAATTTGTATCAGCACACCGGGAACCTGGCTGTTGCTGTCACCCGTCTGTGTGTTTACATAATAACTCAACAGTGCGAGGACAGATTTTCACCAAACTTGGTTTGAACATCACATGAGAGCGTATCTCCAGATGATTCACTTTTGGAGCTGATCCGTCAAAGATCAATGTCACGGTTTACAGAGATATGGTCCCAAAAAAAACCTGTTTTTCAAATTCATCTATTATAATCATTCATCGTCGTATGATAGAAATTATGTCAATCTAAAAAGTTAGCATTGACTGATTGGGGTATAAACAGCATCGTATCACCCCGCCAATGCTTTTCTTTTCTTTTTTTTAAACAATAATGAGAATTTAATAAAAAAGCCCCAAGTCTTTTCATCCGTCGTCCCAGTCATTGCATCTCAGCAGCAGATCTACTCCACACTACTGATGCATGCACCATTTGTGTGGGCACAAGAAAGAAAGAGACAGAAGCAGGAAACTCATGAAACTTCATATCACACAAACACACAGGAGGCAGACTGTCTTCTCCGCAGTTTCTCAGTTGAAGAGAAAATTCAAAGGAAAAAAAACTATCTGGAGTATCTGCAAAGTCCCAGTTTCTGCCCGTCTAAAACAAACATAAACTAATTTTCAATCTAGAACTCAGCCGGCAGGGTTTCCAGAAAAGCGTGTGGACGCCACGAACGGCAAGCATGCGTTTTAAAACTCAAAGTGTCAGAGAGAAAACCCGAAAGAGCAACAAGTGCAGAGAATCCAGTTAAAGGTCCAGTGTGTCAGATTTAGAATAATCCTCATGATGTTTTCACTAGTTCGTTTCAACACAGTTTCTTTTTTTTCGTGTTTGGAAGAAGAGGGCGAGGTGAGGGGTGACACTTAGATATCGTACAATTCTACACACTGTACCTTTAAATTACTGCAGTTACAGACGAGTAGAATATATCAATCTATGAGAGAGAACATCAATATGATGCTGGTGGATGTGAATATCGACCCGGTGGAGCTGCTGAGCTGTGTGACTGTCAGCTCATGTTCCGGAGATGGAACGGTGCATCAACAGTTTGCTTGGTGTGATCTGCTGCTGGTTGGTGTGTTCAAATAAGTGGTCAAGTTTAAAAAGTAAAAAAAAGATAAGTGGGATCAATTGATAACATCAAGGACGAGAGATATTCTGCTTCTCTTTTATGACCAGGACACAAGAGAGGAGAAGAGAAACAGAAGAGGAGACAGAGAGAGAGAGAGAGAGCAGAGACACCAGAAGAGTCAGAATGATCAGAGAAAAACAGGAGAGAGAGAAGAGACGCTAGAAGAGAGAGAAGGAAAAGAGAGGAGAAGAACACCAGGAGGGGGTTCAGAGAGGTGAAGAAGAGGAGGGTATCAGATAGAACAGACAGTTAACTCAGTTGGTTACAGTTGGAAAACGAGCCCTCGTCTCACAGTGGGAGCAGAAGCTGAGAGACTTCACCAGAACTGAACATTTTAACAGACGATGTAGAAAACGACTGTTTCAGAGACATCAGGGTTTTGTGTTGGGTTTTGTTTTTTTAACCTCAGCAGCTAAAAATAAATTCATGAAGCAAAAACTCATCTTTTACGCACCTTGGGAGTAAAGTCCTTCAGTCTTATCTCAGTCCTGAGGGAAGAAGAAATGAACCCTCAGCGTCTCTTCCACATGTTCTGTCTCTTCCACCTCTTTTAACGAGCCTTCATTTGCCCTGATCTTCATTCATCTAAAGCTGCACTCGAGGCGGATCACATCTCCGCTGTGCTCGTAACCTGAACTGTTCGGACACCTCTGACTGAGCGCAGATGTTTACGCACTGTGGCCTCGGGCTACTGATCCGGTTTAGTGGGACCCAGATTCCCCCGCTGGCATCAATGAGGACTCACCTTCTTGTCGCTCGTGGTCTCCACACGGCTGCTACTATTTACTCTCATGCACTTATCAAAAAATAAATAAATAAACCAGATCAGGGGGAGGGTTCGTTTGTCCTGTGGCGAAAGTCAGACACCTCTTGTGCAATGAAAATCCTAAACGCACCTGATGAAAGTGAAAGTGCTGCTGGACGCACGCACACACACACAGAAAGAGAGAGAGACGCACACACACACACAGAAAGAGAGAGAGACGCACACCTGTGTGTCCACGATGGCAGGTAATTAGGCTACAATAAGCGCGCGCACACACATGCTCATCCATACACACATACACATACATACACACAGAGAGAGAGAGGGAGATCCACGCACCTCGAGTGGGTGCGCGCGTGTTTTGATGCGTAACGGTGCCACGTTGTGATGAGTCCCCGGGTTGGATGAGAGGAGCCGCCGGCCCGAGAGGAATCCGGTCATAAAATCATCGCCAGTAAAAGTGAGTGAGTCCAAAGTCCATTAGTGGCTCCGCGCATCCACGCAGCTGCTGTGTCTCCTGTCTGTGACTCCAAGTGCGCAACAGCCTGGGCCCGCACATCAACCCAGTCAATCTCAAGTCACACACACGCACACGATCCAGAGACCATTTCAAAATAAAAGCATGCGCTCCCCTCCTGATCCTGCCCACCCACTCTCCCTCTCTCCATCTCTCTCTTTCTCCTTCTATCTCTCTCAGAAAGATAGATGGATAGATGGATAGATAGATGGATAGATAGATAGATGGATAGATAGATAGATAGATAGATAGATAGATAGATAGATAGATAGATAGATAGATGTTAAATACAAAATGTGAGGAAAATCCATCCATCCTTTTTTAGCAACATGTAGCAAAATTCACAGCCATAAACTGAGCTGGATCTTTTGTTTA